TCCTGTAAAAACATCTAACAAAAGCCTGCTACACAGATGATAATTTTTCTTCATCCCTTGTAGTCACACAACCGATAAAGAGAAACCGGTACCGCCTCAATCTTATATTCGTCGCTCAGGCTACGTTTATACTTTGCCTCAATACGGCAAAGTTTTGAGGGTTTCGAGCGTGTACCAGTGCAAACGACTAGGAACTCTATAAATATCTACCTAGCATAGCCAGCGTTCACAAGGGGTGGAGAGTATGGGGAAGTAGGAAGGTAGAAGACTGCTGGATCAGGCGTCGTGAAATTGCGGTGGGGGCACCACACCATACGGGAAGATTGCATAATTTTGTGCATCAACAGTTGAGGGGTGCAATTGCACACTCCGCATTTTCACTACGACTAATACAGCAGTCTGTCACTTTCTACGTTCCCATACTTTCCACCCCTGGTGGACGTTGGCGTATGCTGGCATACGGTGGCACAATTTGGTGTACACTAGATCGATACCTGTCTTTCCTAGTCGCTGGCGCTAGCGTGCGCTCGAACAGGGCACGCCATCGCGTTGTGATAAATTCCTGCTAAATGCGACCCCCTCAAGACAGGGCCTCGATAGGACCCCTCCTTGTCCATTCCATTCGAGCGGCTCTAAACGCTCAGAGCGCTACATTGCAGTGGCGTATGCTCATGCAAAGTATGAATCTTGTTCGATTGCGTGTTCTTCACGCCTAGTGTATAGTTTCACGCGGAAATTCCACGAAAGTACCCTTTCTTGTTTGTCAAAAGGAGGTCTTTATTGCCCCTTTAGGCAGTTCCATACAATTCACCGTCAGTCATTTTGAGTGGAGAAAATGAGTACAGCGGAGAGTGGAACCTTGGTTGTTCCCAACCTTGTTTTCAGTGGAATTTAGGTCTGACTATCATACTACAAGGTAAAATCTCGAAGGGTAAAATTGCTTGGAATGTCACGATGCTGTGAAGAAATAGAAACCAAACGACCGCAAACATACCGGCGTGTTCCTTCTTTAGCCATTCGTTCCATTTCATGCCCATGTTTGATTTCGGCCATTTCATACTTGACCCATTCATCGTTTCCGTTATAAATTTTTCTCAGCACCTAAAGTTTTTAAGTATATCGTTAAGATGCGTGTGGCGAAGACTTATACTGAGTTGCTCTGCTATCGTGGGTTCAAGCTTTGTTTCCCTGTGCCGGATCTGTGTCCCCTCAAGCTTGCAAGTTTTCTGAAAAATTTTTACATAAAGATTCTGGTGATAGCTTAAAGGCACAGTCCACGCTGACGGTACGGGTAGGGATTAAGTAGGATTGGAAGACCGTTAGCCATCCTCACTGGTACAGAATTGTTGGGAGACACCGGACGTCTTTGCTGGAAGAGAGACTTACTGGCTTCGGAGGAAATATTTCGAACACCGGGAAACAGTTTTTCCGTTGACTGGAAAATGAATGAATGGAAACTGGCAGGGAGTTGCGACGATTCTGGAAGACGGCAGGGGGTAGCATGGGAAAAGATAATTTTGCTAGAAGAGAGAAATTGGAAGTCGTTCTGACCCCGCTATTCCATCCATCTCGAAGCTGTACTCGGCATCCTCAAGGAAGCCCCCCCCCCACCTATCCTAACCGCATCAGAAGCAGTAACGCCCCAATGAGAGAAGTGCAATAACTCGCTGTCTCCGCCCACACAACTGCTGCTAAATATCCCGGCTATGCTGCTTGTCTCAAGATCTTTTCGTGTCATGTTACTCAATGAGCAATTGTAAAAGTGGACGGTACCGCTTCCGTTTCCTCTATCCTGTTGTGCTCGAACAACCACCGAGGGCTCTCCGGCAAGAATAAGAAGCAAATGAATTGAATGATAGCCGGTACACCAGCAAATCCAAACATCAACCTGAAACATCAGTCATTTGTCATCAATGACTACGGGGTTCTTATAGGAAGTCTTTAACATGTCGCCGAACTAGAGATCGGTGCAATCCCCATAAGCTGTCGTAATCGGTTGCGGGGAGTGGAAGCCGTCTATTTGGGTTTCCTAAGAATGGCTAATGTTAGTGGAAAAGAGCGGAAAGGTGTGGAAATTCGGAAGTTGGCGGGGTTTCATTGCTTGCGGATTTTGGTCGAGTCCGTACGACCGCTCCCCCCTAGGAGGCGGCTTGATACGGTCTCCCCCTCAAGAGGCAGCTTGATACGCCCCTCCTAGTTCCCTCCGCTGATACCAGCACATGTGAAACGGGAAGGTAAATACCATCACCCTCTCCCCTTTCTCATCCTACCTACCGTTTTCTCAGCTTTTCCCAACTGCCTACCAATTTTAATAGTTTTTAGGAGGAACACCGTGAGTAGTCAACTACCCGGGAAATTTTTTCCTAACGCCATTTATTTCTCTCAGAAGGCAAATACGACGCCCCTCCTGTTGGGGAATTCCCAAAAATGATCGCCCAGGATCTTGATGAGCATTTCCTCTTTGTCGACTGCTCAACGGGAAGCTTGAGTGCATGAGGTAAAGGATTACGCGCTTGGTATCAGGTCACGCCGTTGCTCGCGAACCGCCAGTCAAGATGGGCGTGAGAAAAAACCAACTATCAGAACAAATTCTCCCCAGCGCAAATACGACCCCCCCCCTATTGGGGATTCCCCAACAACGAGGTGCCCTGGAGGCGGAAGGGGGGAGGAGTATATAGGAGACATGAAACAGGCAAAATCACGCAAAATGTCAACAGCGCAACAGTGGAAAATCAACGCGACAAGTTTCTCTCAAAGCCACATACGACCCCCCCCTCTCCCAACGACCAAATACGACCCCCTCCTCAAGAAAAAAGTACGACCCTCCCTATGTGTTTCACACAACGATGCTGTATCCTGGCGACCCGTCGGAGGTGCCACTCTAGGGAGCACTTCAATAATCTGTACTTACATACCTCCATCCGACATTTGTCGGGTCGACGTAGCTGAACCCAGCACCGACAAGATTAGCGACTACCATACCGACGGTAATCATCAGCTGAAAGCCGGTGACCAGTCGCCCGCGAATATGTGATGGGGACGCTTCACTAACGTACACCGGCACGATCATCGATGCGAAACCTGCAAGAGCTTTGTATATGGGATAGAATGAACAGAAGCTGATTCTCCAGTCATTCTCCAGAAAATGGAATCCGTCTCTTCTCGCCTCTCTACCAGTATTGGATTAACCTACCGATGGCGACTCCAAGTAGAATTCTCCCTATCGCTAACACTATTTTCGTCCATGCTGCCGCGCATATCACGGCTCCGGCAGTGAAGACAATACAAGCGGCAACGATCACTTTCTTCCTACCAAAATAGTCTGAACCAGGAGCAGAAAGTAGTGCACCTACGGCGGCGAAACCTGAAGAAGATTATAATATTAAAGCTTTGAAATTTTCAAGACTTAGCAGAGCGCAAGCGATTGCTCTTGATTCCGCTTGATTATTAAAGGCAGTTGGCACGATAAATCCCCCAAGGCGAGTAGGATTAAGCCTGGCAGGATAGAATTCCGCGACCCTGAGCAGGCGCTGCATAGCGCCTTTCCCGAGGAAGGTGCCCTTATAAGGGCCCTATCAAGCTACAACATACCGACCCGAACGCCCACCACGCCCGCCCGCCCACAAATGGACGACCGTTCCTGACGCTCGTATTGCTTCATTTGCTAAGTAAACTATGAAGCGAAGGGTTTGGTTTGAAGTGATGCTGCATGGATATATGAATACACATATGTAGCTGTACCTTTGGTAGCGGTTG